GGTAAAGGTAAAGAATAATATTTTCAATAACTATTCATTGAATGCCTACTTAGTGCTTTTGTTTAAATCCTTACGACTACCCTGCAGAGTATTATTATACCCACTTCACAGGTGAGGACGGGAAAGCTCAAAGAATTGAACATCTTACTCAAAGTCGAACAAGCAGTTTACTAATAAAATAATAATTAAATGTCATATCATCATTCAAAGTTTATAAGGACATATAACTGGACACCTAATTTATATGGAGGAGGTGGTAAGGAGAAGTGAGTGAAGGTCTCTCTAAAGTTATTCTTTTAAAGCTAAGAATTAAAATATGCAGAGGCATTAATTAGGATAAATATACGGATAGGACATTTCACATACAAGGAATAGATTGTGTAAGGGCTTTGAGGCAAGATGGGATTTAAAGTGTTTCACAACCTAAAAAAGAATATGTAGTGTTGATATTTAATAAGCTTTGGGGTAGCATGCAGAGACAGATGATCCAGAACTTTACAGAACAAGAAAAAGAATCCTAAATTGTACCCTAAATGAAATGGTCAGTTACTGAATAGGATTTTATTGTTTTGTTGTTGTTTGAAGCGGGAATGATCTTATCACATTTGTTCACCAAAGAGCACGTGGCCGAATGTGGCTGCATGTGGATGAGAGCTGGAATCAACGTGTGGACACCATGGTCTTAACCAGGCAACAGGGGATGCAGCTTGGACTGAAGCAGTGGCAGCAAAGATGGGAACAAGTCCATTGTGTTTTGGAGATGGAGTCAGGGATTTATGTTGAATTGGTTATGGCCGGTGAGAGAGAGAAAGAGCTCAAGGATCACTGTCACGTGACTGACGCAAGCACTTTAGCAGATACAGGTGCTTCTTATTGACTTGGAGACACCTGGAGGTTGACCAGGTGCGTGAGTAAGGGAGGGGTGAGGGAGGTAAAGCTCCCAATCCTGTAGCTTTATGAAAGCATTTTGGGGATGAGGGTGCTCTCCCTTCCTGAGTCCACAGAAAGCCACCTGGGTCAGGAAGACAGTGTTATCCAATGTTTAATTAGTTAAAAATAGAAAGCACTCATGTGTGAGATGGGGAAGTTGGGTACTAGACCCCAACTTTGAACTTCCCTTTCTGTTTCTCTGAGCTATTTCTTCTTGCCTAAAATGAGGAGTTTGCCCAAAAGAGTTCTCTGTGCCAGTTTCCCTCTAAAAGCCCACAACTACTGATTGTGACTACTCCAGGGACAGGTTTGCAAAACTACGTCCAAAGGATATATTTATATTGATTCTGTGTCAGGTGGAAGCCTATCCTGAGATACAAGTGACAGAAGATGCACAGAGGCATTCAGGTTACCGCAGAGCTCAGTGCAGAGGTCAGCTAGGTCCCCTAATGGCACCACTCAGGACCATCTGTCAATGACTTGTTGCTGTTCACAGCACCTGAGGATTTTCACCTGCCCTCTTTCCTACCTAAAAATGGGTGCATGCCATCACTCATCCCCGTCTTCCTTTCTGTTCCTATCAGGAAAGGGAACAGAATTCCATGGCACAGAGCATGGAAATTGAGCTGCCCACGTTTGAGTCCTGCTTATGTCCCTTACTTGCTGCTGTGAGCAAATCTTTTCCCTCTGGGAGCCTCCAGTTTCCACATCTGTAGAATGGTCATAACACCTGTACCTGTTGTGAGTTAGAAAGGTGATACTTTGCAGTGCCTAGAATATAGTAAATACTCAGTGATTGTTTTTCTCCTTCTCTTCCTCCTGTTCTCTTTCCTACCATTCATTTTTTCATCTTTCAGAACTGAGCTAAGGGATCATATATTTCAGAAAATTATCCCCTCCCCTTGTCACTTCCCACAGGGAGTCTTGTCTACAATTTTATCTTGCCTCTGTGTGTCATTCTCTATGCTGTTAATCTCACCCCATCTCTCTGCAAGACACATCTAGAAGCCAATAATTATTGATACTTCATTGCTGTCTCTCAAGAATACATATACAGTAGGTATTCAATAAATGTCTGCTAACCTTTATTGCCAAAGGGGATGTTAGAAGAAGGGAATAAAGACAGAAGAGCAAGAGGAACAAAAATCACATTTGTCATGCCAGCTCCTCAAATGAGATTTTGGTATAGAATATAAAGGAAAAATAGAATCCATTAGCTGGCCCAAATTGCATTAGCAGTTCTCCACTATGGGATATACAGTCATCATTTAGACTTTAGTACAAGCAATCCTTGATTGACTAAGAAATGTTTAGCAAAAGAAGCAAAATATACCATGTGTATTTACAGTCTGAGATGCTCTGCTCCTCTAGCTTTGCTTACATCAACGGAGGGGGAAAAATGCACCCAGACAGTCTAATTTCTTTAAGTCAGATGACTCACAGAAGCAAACATTGGAAGATGTGCTACAAAATAATCAATCATCAGATGAAACTGTTTTGGATGTGAAAGATATATAAAATGAAGTGAGATTCTTTTCTAAGCTAAAAGTTTGCATAGTCACAAAACATTCTGGTAGAAGAAATGGAGAAATTTAGCCAGACCACCACTTAAAAAGAGGTATGATTTCAAAGCAGTCAGTCAGTCATCTCCATGCCTTAACCCCTAATCCTGTTCCTCATCCACATACTCAACACCTGGTGATTCATTTTTCATGGTAAACCTCTTCGACTTTCCTTTTGCTAACAATGTAGCATCTAGAACACATATGTGCTTTCTTTGGCCAATGGCTATCTTAAATATCTTGCCATAAATAGGAAGCAACAGCAGCAATAGTAGCAGCAGCATCCTAATCACTATAAAGGGCGTGACTTCCCACACATGATTGCATTAACAAGTACCATTGCATCCATTTTGCTGATGGAGAAACTACAATGCTAGGTGAGAAACCCCATGTCCAAGTTCACACAGCTTGGACATTGTGGAACTCAGGTATCTACACATAGCTCTTTCATTCCAGTATGCCCTGGTATTTCCCAAATGTAAACTGGCAAACATCCAGTCTGCTGGGATGATAACTTCCTGTAAACTAGACATTTAACATTTCACAATGTATCTATTTCCTGAGGCCAACAGCATAGAAATCTATCAAACTCTGCTTGTCTCCAAGTGTCCAAGTACTGGAATATCACCTTCTTTGCATACGCTGTTCCCCCAGCCTAGAGCAAGCTTATCCCTTCTGTTCTGGCTGTTTCCAATTTATTCTTTAAAATTCCATGCTCATTTGGTCCTATCCTCCAGAAATATATTTGAAGTACTCCTTCCCTTCCCTCCCTTCATTGCCAAGAATACTTAGTATTCTTCCTTGTGTCCTGTGTACCCTGTGCCTAATTCTGATATAGTATTGACCCAGCATATTCAAAATTTGTTTCTCACAAGGCTCATATTTCTTGAAAGGTTGGGGCCACATTTTATATATTAGTAAATCACCAGAACTTATCACGGCCCTTCGCAAATGGATTGTGTTAATGCATGCGAAAATAAAATAACAATAATTCCTAGCATTCATTTATTGCTTACATGATGCTAGGCATTTTCAAAACAGTTTACATGTAGGGGGCAGATGATCCCTTTGTTCAAAGAGCCAAAGGGCTGCCATGAAGAAGAATGATTAGATTCATTTTGCCTGGTCCCAGGGTTGCAAAACTGGCACTAATGGATGGGAACTTCAGGGAGGGAAAATGTTGCTCAGTCTAAGGAAGGATTTCTGGCAAGAAAGGTGTCTGCTGCTAGATCTTGTGTTCCTGGGAATGGGTATCTTTGTTTCGCTTCCGGCATTGGAACTCAGACCATATGTCCATTTAACAGGTATTGTCATAATTCACAGGGGATTTCTGCTTTGGGTAGGAGAGGATATTGCAGGACCACCATGATCTATTCTAAGTATACATTTTATGGAAATTTTAACAAGTCTACTTAAAGGGACATATGCCTTGGACAAAAGTTGACTACCACCACTTCTGCTACTATAATTACTATGAATGGTCATATTCTCTCTGCCAGACATTTTACATTTCGCTTATACCATGTCATATAACCTGCATGTCAGTCCTGCATGGTTGATGTTATCGGTTTCATTCTGCAATTGCAAGGAACTGAGGCTCTGGGATGTGAAGCCACCTGGTCGTGGTTAGCCAGATAGTGACACTCAAGCTCATGTGTGTCTGACCACAAAATGAGTTCTCTTTCTGTTTTACCAAGGGTGGGAGTGGAAGAGGAGAGCTGAAGAACAACATACAAATGATAGATAATCCTAGGCTTAAGACAGATTTATTTTGGTAAAAGATGATACTCTCTTCCTGAAAATTTCCAATTTCTTGTATATCTCACTATAGATTGATTGTATAGGTTGCAATTATTGCCAACAGATTCATTTGTTTGATTCTTTCTCCAACGAAACCATTTCATCCTGTGGCCACCGCACTCTTCACAGTAGGAGCTACTACTTCACAATCCCATGAGAACAGGTCGATTTATATGCATGCCTCATACACATCTTCTCAACAAGAAAACTCAAGAGGGACTTAGGGAGGGTAAATTGAAGAACTTGAAAAGGAATTGCAAGCTCAAAAATGGTGAGAAGATTTTGGGATATTGTCAGCACATGAAGAATAATGAAATTAAACATGTTATCTGAAAGTGAATAATTCTAAGCAATTTGATAGAGATAGTTTCTTCCCTCAAGGGATTTAACAAATCCAAGTTGGGTAAGCTGATTCAGACAAACATTTCAGCCTCAGGGGGGGAAAAAAAACTGTGAAAAACATATAAAACGTGCTTGTGTCTATTTTTTCATGGAAGACATTTTCTTTACATGGTGTATGGTCTCTATCCTTTTTTCTTCGAGGTCTAGCACTGCTATGAAGCCTTTACTCACTTCTCCAGTTCCTGGGGTTTTCCCTTAAGCTTCTACAGAAGATATCCCCTGCACTATACAATTATATCCTGCACCTCGTGCTATCTTGTAATACCAGATTTTTCTTTTCTGTGCCTTCTCTCCTTTCCCATGCAGGTGGACAAAATTGCACATGGTGGGCGGTGGTATCTAGGGAAATGTCGGCTGAAGGTCCTCCAGGGCCATTGTAGAGTAACTTCACTTTGAAAGAACACGGTAAAGTCTAATATCAGATCTTCAGCTTTGCAAGTCAAAGAATTTTATCTTAGATGAGTCTCAGAAAGGATGATTGACTGGAGCATTGATTATATTTTCCTAACACTTGAGTTGTCTCCATGTTAAGTGGAGGCAATCTGAACAAAACAAATTCATGCTGTCCCAGCTACTTCTATGGCAATGAGAGCAATCACTTTCCAGACATTCTTCCTAACAGGAGACCTGGGTGTGTTCTGAAGAAATAAATACTATACAGAAGGGTTAGGGAGCATTGAGCAAACACGCCAGTGGAGAAAGATGGTACCCAAATTTCCTTCTCAAGGAAACCATAGCTCCAGGAGGATTTTTTTTTCTTTTGACTGAGTGTCCTGCTGGGCTGGAGGATGAAAAATTGGGAGTTGGAATCCAGGTAGAACTAAATTGTACTGGGCTGTTACATTGCACAACTTCAGGTGGTGCCCCTGGCATCCAAGCTGGGATGTGACTATGGAAAGGAGGAAAGTCTGATGGTGATTTTTTTATTTCCTTATAGATGTGATGTAAGACCCCTTCTCTATCTTTCTGTCAAGCACCTTTGGTAAGTTTTGTCATGTTTGATAATGCTTTTGTGATGCTGGATTGTTTTGGGGGTGGGATATTAAAAAGGGGCTGAGTTAATGGATCTTGACTTGCCATAGATGGACACAAAGATGGAAGATGCCCAACATGTGTATACTCTTTTGTTCTGGGAAAGCTAACTTATAGTGACCACTCATAACAAACTAAACAAGGTGATGAAGTTGGTAACAATGAGAAACCTGAGTGTATGTGTGTGTGTGTGTGTGTGTGTGTGTGTGTGTGTGTGTGTGTGTGTATGTTTGTTGGAGATTGCGTGAAAATAACTGTTATAATGATGGATTGTGAGAAACCTCTCGAATGAAGAAGAGCTTGCAGATAGTCCAGGTGGTCTTATAGCTCATGTACCATCCCCACAATTGGACGAGGCCTGTCAGAGGAGAAAGAGGTCCACATGGGTATGTCCGGCCTCTCTTTCCCCCAGACCTTGCTAGGATACATTGCAAGCCTGTCTCTCTCATCACCTGCTCCTCTCTTTTGATAGCCACACATTTCTTTATCTTAACACAAGCAGTTTTGCTCCAGCCAACTCGCCCTGTTACCAAGAAGTCATTTATCTCTTTTAGGTGGTTTTGTATATTTATCACTTACTTTATTTTATGGTTTTTAATCTCAGAGCTTCTTGTTGCTGCTCTGAGTTCTGGAAACAATAGATCATTAACTTATTAAAACCTCAGTTATAGACGATATAGCCAACACGAAATATACATTTCTTAGGAAAGAAATCTTGTTTTTCTCATTGTCTGCATCCCCAGAATTTCTATCACAGAACAAGACACAAAATAGAAGCTCAATAAACATTCTAAATATTTCCTGGGGCCCTTTCGATGGAAGAGTCTGTATTATATTTCACACTTTTTTTTTTTTTTTGCAACAGAAGCTTTTGCTTTATTCTTAAAGTCTATTATTGTTAAGTGCACTTTCTTGGTTCCAGTGAATTAAAATTTGTAGTGACTTAATCTTTCTCTCTCTGAACACATTTGTAATGCTTGGTCTTCTTTATCCTGTTGTGTTCTGTGTGTCATATATCATGATACCGTGTTGCATTTCTTAAAGAGAAAACCTACGGAAAGCATATTTTTTTAAAAAATGGCTTTCTTATTATGGCCTATAGCAATTAAAGCTTGAAATTAGAATTAAGTATCGTGCATTGCGATGCAGGCGACCATATAGCTATATTAACATTTTTGGCAAGGTTTTTCTTTGCAGGCACAAACTTGTCATTAGGAAATCTAATACTCATTTTTTGCTTGATTAATTGCAGCAAAGGCATAACAAAATATATATTGTGTGTTAGAGCATGCAACATTTGTAAAATTATAAATCACAGATAAGCTGAGGTACAAATCTACAACATTCTGTCAGAAACTCACCAGAGTACGTATGAAATTTGTTTTTTGAAGTACTTTTGGTAAAAGAGAATTTATGCACCTAAAACATGAAGAAACACAGCTTGAGAACACAAGTCACTATCTAAAATAGTCTGAGTTTTCCTCCCAGCCTCCCAAATTTGCCCTGGATTTACATATGTGTGCCCTGGAAGAGATTCTTATAATTATACATAAGAAATAATACTTAGCACATAATATAAAATAATATCTACTATTTTCTAAGGACTTCCTTTGTGTCCAACATAATAAGCCCCCTTGGAAGGGGCTGATAGGTTTCTGATTTAATCCTTACAACACCTTTGCAAAGTAGGTACTATTTTATTATTAGTTATTATTGAGTTAAACCTACATTCAGTGAGATACACATATTTTGTCTGTGTGATTTCATAAATTTTGACAAATGTATACAATTGCCAAATCAAGATAGAGAACATTTCTCAATCAAGATAGAGAACATTTCTGTCACTTATAAGTGGATGCTATCTTTAGCTCTTATTTTCTTGGTAAGAAACAAATGGGTTTAGAAGAGTTAAATAATTGGCCCAAAGGCAAACCAGTAGTAAATAGCAAAACTGGTAGTCAAACCCACTATCCTTGTAACTGTATCAGGCCTCTCAAGGCTTAGCTTCAATACCTATGGACTTTCTTTTGTTTTGTTTTTTATATCTAAAGGAAGAGTTTAGAAAGAAAGCAGATTGGAAGTCTGAGTGAGACTAGCTGACATCTAGCAGTGCTTTTCAGAACTGCTAATCACACCCTATCTTTGTAAGAATAGAGATTCTTGCTTTATCCCTGGAATTTTAATTTAGTAAACTGGATTGGAGATCTATAATCTGAATCTTTTTTTTTTTTTTTGTATGCTCCCTAGTGATCCTGAGAGTCACCATGTTTATATCAGGACAGGCTATCTAATGCTGCAGTCACAAATTAACCAGAAAATATCAGAAACTTAACATGTTAAAGTGTATTCTTACTCACAAATCCACTGCTTGGAAGACTCTCCAGAGAAGATATCCTCATTGCAGTAACAACTCAAGATGCTCTGGCTTCAGCTGTACCACTGAAATGTTTATGTCCATGTAGTAAGCAAAGAGAGAAGGTCTGGAGGATTGTGCATTGGCTTTGAAATCTTTGCCAAATCCCTTGGTCAGACAGAATTCATCACGTGGCCTTACTTCTTTCAAGGGGCTGAGAAATGTGAAGTAGGACATAGGCATTTGGAGAAGAGCGAAGGTCTCTGCTGCAGTCAGGTTCGGAGAATCATTTACCTCTATGTTTCTTTTCTTTCCTGGAAGTTCGTGGATCCAATATGTTACAGAGAGATTTAACCTTCTGTTTTTATGGGAAGTGATCTACTGTGACAACTCTGCCCCACCATATAATGCTTTTCCTTGTTTTCTCTTTGACCAGCATGCTGAAACGTTTGCATGAAAAGCATGAAGCCATAATATTGAGGTTGATTCGATGGTTCTGCTATCACTTCTCTTAGTTGCTTTTTCAATTCCTTTGAGTTAACATCCTGTAAGTTGGTCCCAGCCAGAAGGCTTTGCATTCCCACCTGAACTTGCTGCCAGCTGGGTGCCAACCTCATGCCTGCTGGTGTGGTGTGCGGGAAGGCAGAAGTTTTAAGGTTCTAGCTGCAGTGGTTATGAGCCCATTCTGGAGTCAGATTGTCTGGCTTCAGATCCAAGCTCCATCATTTACTAGGTATACTAGCTTGGTAAGTGACTTAACCTCTCTGAACCTAATTTCCTGTTGAGCACAATAGAGGTAATTATAGTCTCTACCTCATGGGGCTGTCATAAGTATTAAAAATGATAATCCACGTAAGTGCTTAGCACAGGGTCTCGCATATGGAGAGCAACCGATATACTTCGTCTGCTTTTTATAATGGGATGTCTTTGAGACTGCTGATCTGCCAATACCTAATAAAAAGAAACTCCTCTCTCTGCCTTGCCTTACCCAGAGTAATGGATTTCACCATTATATGCTGAGAAAGAAGCTTTTTTTTCTGTGCCTTCAAATCAATCAATTTCAATTCATTTCCCCACCTTCTTGTAAAGCCAGCTTTGACCCCATCTTTCAACTCTAAACGATGATTTTATGAAAGTTAAAATGAAATTAGCAAAATGGTATTTTTCTTTCAATGAAAGCATAGCAGCTCTAAAAGGGTGGTGAACAATAACTCACATCTCTCCTACTCTGTACTCCATGAAGCTGTGTGTTATCTAACAACAGGAGGTTGTTAAATCATGCAACATAAACTTTCTTCCCCCAGAGTGGCAAGTGAGCTATTTTCAACTTTCTGTTGTGACACGATTTTTTCGGTTGTGTCAGCATGCCTATTACCAATTTACCTCTTTGCGAACTGTGTGCATCTTCTCCAAGAGTGTTTATTGGGATCTCTTCCCCAACGGTGTGTAGGCATTTCCCTGAATGTGTTGCATGGAGTGCTGGTCTGGCATAATTAGACAAGATATATTGTCCATCAAAATGTGCTTTCTTGCTCAAATATGAAAATACTGCAGGCTCTACCTACCTCGGATATTCATAATACTTACTGGCACTGAAGTGCCAGTAAGTACATTAGTACATCCAGCATATATTTCTAGACATCCTTAATATCTGTTTAGCTCTGTTCCACTGATCACCTATAAAACCAATTTGGCCAACAAAAATTTATTTTCACAAAAGAGAGTGTTCCAAAGAATGATATATTTGGTAGAACTGTGGGCAGAATTGATGAGAAAACTTAAGCTATGGATGTTTGCCTGCTCCTTAGGTTTAGAAAGATAACAATAAAGGGGCTATTTCTTGTCTAATCTGATTTTTAAAGCCAATGGGAGCCATAAGAACAAAATTCCAATTTGTTTGACGGGCTGGGATGGAGAGGAGAGGAGAGGGGACACTTGTTGCAGATGTCACACCATTTAAGGAGGCACCAAAATGCATACATAATACTTCATTGAAATATTTTTAAATAAATAAAAATTTAAAAAATTTTTAAAAAGCAAAATTCCATGATGAACAAGACAGCAATTTTTTTAGCGTATTATGGGGATACAAGTGTTAAGGTTACATATATTGCCCACGTCCCCCACCCCCCTCAAGTAAGAGCTTCAAGCCTGTCCATCCCCCAAACGTTGCACCTCTTACTCATTGTGGTAAGACAGCAAACTTTAAATGAAGACAGGATTAGTATTTGTAAATTTTTTTTCCTTTTGCCTTCGTCTTCCATATGGCTATGTACAGCACTGTCCCTGTTCCTCTCTTTATTTAAAACCTTGATATTTTGTTCATCATGGATTTTTGCATTCGTTTTTGATTTTTTAAAATAGTGCACTGAAATATCATGTCTTGATTTCTTTTTAAAAATTTAATAGATTTACAGGGTACAAGGTGAGTTCTATTATATGTATATATTACATAGTGGTGGAGAGTCTGGGCTTTTGGTGTACCCATCACCTGAGTAGTAGTGTACATTGTATCCCATAGGTACTCTTTCATCCCTCACCCCCTCCCACCTGCCCTCTCCAATATCCATTATACCATTCTGTGTTCCCTTGTGTGACCATAGTTTAGCTCCCACTTATAAATGAGAACACATGGTGTCTGGTTTTCCATTCCTGAATTACTCCACTTAGGATAATGGCCTCTAGCTCCAACCAAGTTGCTGCAAAAGACATTATTTCATTCTTTCTTATCACTGAGTAGTACTTCATGGGGTAGAAACACACACACACACACACACATCACACACATTTTAGTCCACTTATCAGTTGATAGGCACTTAGATTGATTCCATATCTTTCTGATTGTGAACTGTGCTGCAATAAGCATACAGGTGCAAGTATCTTTTTATAATGATTATATATATATATATTATAATATATAATTGTATATATAATATAATGATTTCTTTTCCCCTGGGTAGATACCCAATAGTGAGATTTCTGAATCAAATGGTAGATCTACTTTTAGTTCTTTGAGAAATCTCTACACTGATCTCCATAGAAGTTGTGCTAATTTACATTCCCACCAACAGTGCATAAGTGTTTCCTTTTTAGCACATCCATGCCAACATCTGTTGTTTTTTTGACTTTTTAGTAGTGTCCATTCTAATTGGAGTAAAATGGTATCTCATTGTGGCTTTAATCTGCATTTCTCTGATGACTGGTGATATTAAGCATGTTTTCATATATTTGTTTAATTCGCTTTTATTTCTGAGTATTTTGGAGCCCTTTCCTCACCTCACTCAGATTCCAGCTTTGCTGTTAGATCCCTGTGCAAATGTTACTAGAGAAACAGCGAATGCATTTTTTCTTAGGCAGTTTCTGCATCAAGTCAGAGGAGGATTGAAAAGAAACATCACACCCATGTCCACAGTAGTATTATTCACAAGAGCTAAAAGGTGAGAGCAACCCAAGTAGTGCATTGAAATATCATGTCTTGATTTCTTTTTTTAAAAGATTTTAATGGATTTATAAGGTACAAGGTGCCAGGGACCAAAGGATGAGAAATGGGAAGTTGTAGTTTAAAAGGTATATGGTTTTAGTTTTGCAACAATAAAAAAATACCTAACATTACTGGTATGCACACATAAAAAATGGTTAAGATGTTCAATTTTATGTTATGTGTATTTTAGCACAATTAAAATTTTTTTAAAAAAAATCAAATTCAAAAAGAAAGACAAAGAAGAAATGGCAAGAAGCAGGGACAGGTGCATATCATCAAAAGCGGAACCTGAGGATGGAGGCAAAGAAGTAGAGTGCCCGGAAAGGGAGCAGGGAACATAGTGGGTTGGGGGCGGGAAGTAACCCGAATGAGTTCCAGCCTCAGGGCTTCTACTTGTCATTGGAACAGGCTGTGTTGAAAATGAGGCTGAAACACACATTGATTCAACTTCAAGTATTCTTTCTGGTTCTTCTTCTTCTTTGGCTGCTTTCTTGGGGGAAAAAAGATCTTTAAATATAAGATATATTTTGATTAGAGCTGCTGTCTCTTAATGCCCACCTTCACAGTGCTGATGGACTGGCCAAGATGTGCAACACATTTTGGATGCTTTTATAGAAAAGCTGAGATTATTTTTCTAATAACTCTTTCATCTGCGGCATCTAGTTTTTCCATTAGGAAAACTAAAATAGCTTGTGGAATTGCTTTTTGTCCTTCTACAATAACAGACGCTGCAGCCAGCCAGTCACTGTGGGACATATGTAGAATATGATATGGATGCAATGAAAAAATTATCTCTTCATTCCACACCCTTTTGGGAGAAGGACATTTTGTGACATCTCCTTCATGTTTCTGGGTCACAGAACATCTTCTCTTGTGTGAGTGGAGCAGAGATAATTTATATCAACATATGCTGAAATAATGACTGTGATCTCTTTGAGGGCAGATAGCATTCATTCATAAATAATTTTAATAACTGACGAAGAGCTTCAGTCTTCTAATAGGTTCTAAGTAAGCATTTTTTAAAAGTGTTTTCTTTCACTGGGACACAATAGATGCCCCTATTTGGTCCGTGGGATGGGGGATGGATAGTCAATATCAGTCAGGATAAGCAAGATTAAGCTGGAATAATAAACATTCCCCAAATCCTAGTGGCTGAAAAAATGGAGGTGCATTGCTCTCTCATGCTGTGTGTCTATTGCTAGTTACCTGTAAGGTTACCTTGCCTCCTGTCATGGTCATTCTGGGACTCATGCTGACGGAACATGCTTCCTCTATTGTCATAAGCAAGAGTACAAAAAGGTCAGATGAACCAAGCTTCTTCAGCTCATAAGTGACACATGCCTTTGTCCACATTTCATTGGCCATAACAATCACATGGCCCCTCAAGTTCAACAAGGCAGGTGTGTATAATCTTCCTTCGGAAAGGGCCACCGCCACAACAACAATCACAACAACAAACTGGAACAGCTAGCAAAGACCACTCTAATCTACTGGCAGTTGAAGAAAGGGAAAGAAAGCCACTATCTCTACAATTTTCTAAGAGCTTTATATAGTGTCCTCTGTCAGTTGTCGTTCAGTCTTGACCACAACCCTATGAGACACATATTATTCTTTCTATTTTTTTTTAATAGGTGAAGAAGTTAAGTTCACGATGACCCAGCAGCCAGTGTTCAAATCCATGTCTAACAACTCAAAATGCACGCTCTTCCCAAGACAACATCGTGATCCCCACACTCAGGTGTGGAAAAAGTAAGGCCTCAACCTGTGATGCAAACCATTTTTGTCAGTGGTGCAGCCCATTACGGGCGTCCACCTTAACTCACTAGGCAGATAAAAATCATAGCATGTCAAGATTGATAGCAATGGTTATGTATACTCTTCCAGAAGCAGAGTCGTGCTGGAAAGGCAACGTTACTCACCCCACCTCATGTATTTTCCACATGAAAGGCCAGGTGAGCCTCCCTGACCTTCAAAACACAAGTTATAAGAAAATTTCCATCAAGAAAATATTTTTTTTAAAAAAAAAATGAATACTTCTGGAGCATCACTCAGGTCAAAAAACATGTATTTCTAGCAATGGCTAGGCATAGAGAATTAATAAAAATAAATTCATGAATAATACAAGCAAAGACTGTACCAAGGCAATGCATGCATATCAAAGCCAAAGGCTGGCCAAAGAAACCCAGTGTTGAAGTACAAGTAAGTTCAACTCTTCTGAAACAGCCAATAAACCATCTTTAAAAATCTCACTCAGAAAACTCACCACCCCCTTTGACCCCATTCTATTTTTATCATATCCTACCAATATTTTCTGAAATAGTAAAAAATTATTTGGGATAAATACTTATCAGGCTGTTAATGAGAAAAGCAAATTAAAAAATGGAAAGAGCCTAAATGTCTAATAATAGGAAAATGAGTAAGGAAAGCTGAATCATCTATTTGAAGAAAGGCTACCCCACTGTTAAAAGACTCATTTACAAATAGCTTAAAATAATGTGTGAAGATGGCTTGGCTTTCATGTCAAGTGAAACTATTAGAACATAAAATAGAATATGTTACAAGGTCTTCACGCTGAAGGACAAGTAACCAGGAAACTGAGCAAAAGTATATGTATATGTAGGAAAAGATAATAAGAAAATATATGTGAATTCGAAATCTACTCATACATGG